AGAGACTTAAGGTACTCAGGGCGGAAAAATGGTAAAGGAGTACCTGAGTACCATTTTTTTGCCTCTCCCAAAATTTGCCTGACAATTTCAAAGAGCTGCGTATGGTTGCTTTTGTAGGAGATCTAATCAATACAAAACCATTTCAAATCTAGCAACATCACTCAGTTAATCCACAGCAATCAACAGGGTCGGGGAAATTTGAAAACTACACTGAGAATGACAGAAATAGAGCCAGACTGGGACCAGACCCTTTGAGCTGATGCTGATAGAGATGGACAACTATAGTGGCCAAAATCTTTTTTTAAATAAAATATATAAAAATAAATTAAAACAAAACTACATTTTTGACCAGGATCCTGTAAATCTGAGTTGTAACTGAATGGACTTAACTCTACCAGAAATGAAATGATGGAACAACAACACATGATAGTTAACTCAAATGGCAGCATGTTGTAATATTTCAGCCTTAAACAAATCAAAACATTACACTGGAGTCAAGCTGGAACAAGTCAAACAACAGAAAATTAATCTGCAACTATAAAAATTATGTAGTAATTTATCATCAGATTTGTTTGTTTTTTCCTTTGTAAGGATTTGCCGTTTTGTCATGTGGGTCTGGTCTTGGACTGATAACAGGACAAAACAAGGATGATGAAGATGTCTCTGAGATGTAATACATCATTTAAAAAATGGGAAACTTCCACCATTTTACAGTTAAATCATTAATTCATAAACAAGAAATCAGATGAATTGGAAATTTTACAGCCAAATAGCAACATAACATAATAAACGATGTGCTCTGGGCAAGGCTGAAGAACATGTAATGATTTTTTGATTAAAGTTAATATAGCCTGCCACAACTACTTTGTCTTTATGTATCAACATATACTTCCTTTCAGAACTTTCCTTGTTTCTATGCTATGAAAACTAAAGGGAATCTTTTTTCAGTCTTTTCATGCTGCATGTCAGCAGATCACAGCTGAAACAAGTGGATTATGAAAATTTAAATTGGTTCACTGACATTTTTCTTAAATGCAAAACAGCTGATGTTTTTTTGGACTGACAAGAAAACGGTCTGAATGTTACTTGCACTCTGGGAAACAAATTATTGCTTATTTAACAAGGTTATAATTTATACACCAAGCAGTCCCTTTATCAGTTAATGCAGAAATTAAAAGACTTTCTAAAAATAGATAACTATAGCCCTGTAACTGAATAAATGGCAAATAAAAATGGCTGTTAAAACAGATCTGACATTCTGTACTGCAGTTTCTTGTTGCTTAAAGGCCAACACATAGAAAATGTTGATACAAATATATCTGCGAGAAGCTAAAACAGCCACTATTAATGTCCCGGCTGCATCAGTCAGGCTTTAGAAAAAGTCTTGAAAGTGTACAAGTGTCCACAGAGCAGAGATAATAATAGCAGTGACTGTGTCAGCAAAGGCCCATTTTACTCCAACGGACTCAGATCAGTTCATTAGGCACCTGCTTGCTGTGAAAAGGCTGCTGTGACCAGAAAACAACCCACCACCCACACTGTACCTCTCCATCTTCACCTCCTACCTCTCCCACACACAAACACCGCGTTCCGTTTAATCAAAACAGAGCTGCCCTTCAGCGCATTTACATGTCTTATAATGGAGAAGACTCACTATGGAGCCGGTCATTACATGCGCCATTAAAACACAGCAGTAGACTAATCTATCGCCTCCATAAGGGGCAGCAGCAGGAGGACAAGAGGACATGGGAGTGGAGGATGATGCGGCATGAGGAGCAAGAGAAGAAGCCAAAGGCATAAAAAGAGGAGCACGCTGAAGGGGTGGAGGACTGGTAGAGAAGATGCAGGAGAAAGGAGGTCTCAGAGAAAAGTGGGAGCTGCAGGAGCTGCTTTGGGAGGAGTAGCAGGATGCAGCAGGAGCAGTAGGTGAAGTGTGACAAAGAACAGCATGTGATGCAAGAAGTGATGATTTAGGAGAAGAAGACGAAAGTAAGGGGTCATGCTTGAGGAAGAGCAGCAGGAGTAGGATTGATTCTGCAGCTGGAGTTGATGCTTGCAGAGAAGCAGTAGCAGCAGGAAATGCTTTGGAGCTAACAGTAGGTGACACTTGCAGAGAAGAATAGGCGATCCTTTGGAAGGAACAGCATAAGAAGCAATAAGTAGTGAGCACAAACATTATGGAATGATGTAAAAGGAGCAGCATGACTGTTTGTTGAAGAGCAAGGGGTGATTTTGAGGGAAGGGGCAGCAGTACTGTCACTAAGAGATGCTTAGAGAGGAAACACTGGAAAACAGCGGTTCATGCTTGGTGAGGAGCAAAAGTAGGACAGGAGAAGGTGGCCATGCCTGAGGAGAAGGATCAGGAAGAGGCGTTCGTGAAGGTTTAGAAAGGGCAGCATGAGTCAAAGTGGGTGATGCTTGGAGGAGTGGCAAGCAAAGGGTAATGATTAGCAGCAGCTAATATTGTGTGGGCATAGGTCCATTGTAAGACTGAGAAGAGTAAAAGGAGGTCATGCTTGAAGAGATGCAGCAGGTGGAGAAGCAACTGGATATGCTTGGCACAGAGTACAAGAAATGGTGAGAGGATGAGAATAAGGGCAGGAAAGAAGCAGCAGGTGCAGTGGCAGTACTTGAGAAGTAAGAGAAGGCGCAGCAGCAGAAAAAGCTGCTCAGGGAGGAGCAGCAGCAGCAGAAGCGTAGGTAGGTGATGCTTTGGGAGCTAGAAGAGGAGGTCAGAATGTGGCGTTTGGAAAAGAGCAGGGGAAGATGACGCTTCAGAGGAAACAGCAGGAGGTGATGTTGGGGAGGAGCAGGAGAGGAGGTGGCGGCAGCTACATGGAGTCACAGCATAATTATGATTCAGGTTACTGCTCCAGGTGAGCAGCAGCGTGTGTGTGTGTGTGTTAACAGAGCTACAGCAGTGCACTCAAGAGGACGAGACAGTCGTTTTATATTCATCACAGGACATTGGGTGCCATGTACAACAGGGTTATGGATGAGCATCCTCTAAAACATGATTAAAATGTCAGTGCAATAAACATTATTTCATGCTTTAAGGTATTTTATGTATATTTCCCGTTTCTCAAGACTATAAAAAGACCATTTTGAATTTGAGAGCATTTAGGTGGTTATGTAAAAGTAGAGTCAACATTTTCCAACAGCACAGCACACAAAGGCTAAAGGTTATTTTAGACATGTATTTTCCATACGTGCACAGTGAAATGTGAGTCTCTGGTACAGGACAGCGCTGCTCCTGTATGGTCCCATCAGCTTCATTTAAACCCAGAAATTAGCACACAAGTCACCGAGTAAGTGAAAAGCTTCAAAAGATCAACTGTAGAGGGGTATCACGTAGATATCATCACATATGGAAAGCTATGCAGAGCTCTGTGCAAAGTTCAACTGTAATTGTGTGCAAGAATATTACATATTAATTTTCAAAGACACAGGTTAGTTGACTGTAGTTCTTGCACGCCCCAGCTTTAACCACACTTGGTGCATAATCAACCCAAGCCTTCACCCTGCACCAGCTGAACACCGGAGAACGTCTCCTCTTTGCCCACCTACCTTCCACTGCGCACACCGAGGTAATCACACAGAGAAGTGCCGCAAACCAAGTGGCCGGCATGGCCACAATAACTCTCCGCATGTCCTCTCCAGTTATCCGGCTGTCAGAAGAAATCCTACAGGAACACACTGTATTCCTCTGGTTACATCTCAGTCCTCAGTATGTGATTGTGACACCGGCAGAGTCAGCGGGGACTGGAGCTGAGAGAGTGCTGGAGAATCTCCGCTCTCTCTCCTCTCATCCTCTTCTTTCTCACACTTTTCTGTCCAATCAGGAGAGAGTATGGCGGATCATAAACCAATCACCCGTTCTTTTCCACCTGGTCCAAGCTGATGAAGGCCCAATGGTCAGGTCTCCCCCGCCCCGGCATGAAGGCTCTGTGAGGGAACAGCGACTCCCAGTGGTCAAAGAGCAACACAACCGCCAGACTGTTATTTAAACAGAGTCTGGCCCTGATCCCCTCAGGGAGAATTGCAACTATGAATAGTTCATTCTTCTTTATAATGAGCTGGGATGAGATGTGGCATTGTGCTAATGATACATCTAACTGGTCAAATAGCTTCACTAATGGCCTCCCAGTGTTCAGCCAAGCCCTACATGCCCAAGGTAAAACAGTAAATGACTGCACTTGTTCAAACTGTGAGGATGCACACATAGTAGCATGTGAGCTTACTGCCAAGCTCATCAAAATAAAACATGCCAGGCTTTAATTAGCAAAAGGCCTACATCAGGGGGGTTACTTTTCCTTACAGTCCAATCTTGCATTATTGATTTAAAAACATCACCTGCAAATAGTATTTTTTTTAATAGTGTTACAAAAACAATTGCAGTTTTGTTTTAAAAAATAGTCTCAGACTATGATAAAAGGTAAGCTGGCTGAAAACATTTACATATTAAAGCAGCATGTACTAGAGAAGACTTGTTTTCATGTCAGTATTACCAAACGTCTCCACAGGAAACGCATACATTATGACTTGTTTTCATGTCAGTATTACCAAATGTCTCCACAGGAAACGCATACATTATCAAGACTTTACTGTATGTGGTCAAATGCAGCAGGAGATGCCATTACTATATGATTGTATATAAAATTCTGCTGTTATATGCCAACGCTGCTCTTCAGCTATGACTTGTTGAAGCACAGTCCATCCTGGAGGCTGTGTCATTGCCTGCACAGTATACAACTCATTACAAATAGTAATCGCTCCAAAAACCACACCCTGCAGCAGTGTACTTTCTGAATTGGGTGAATTTACTTTCTAGATTTTTGTAGCATTGCTGGCTTAATATTTAGGCTTCAGGTTTAAGGTCCTGGTTTGGTATTGTCCACATTCACCAGCATTCAAGCCCCTACCCCGCATGCATCTTTCCCCTTAATGCTGTTAGTGCCTTGTCAGAGAGGGTGTGTGTTTCCCTGGGATGGTGGCAGTTTTAGTTCCTAACAAGTTCAACCAAGCTGGACTGGTCTCACTGAAAGCCTTGACTGCACACTGGCCTTGCACATAAAAAGAAAAATGTGTTGATAAAAAGCCTCAAAGAGACAAAAACACACCTTCAGTGACTGTACGGCTCTGCTGCTGGAGGCCAGAGATGCAAATGAGAATCTAGTCAAGCCGGAAACCAAGGTCCACTTGGGAGCTTGAACATCTGAACCGTGAGTCATCCAAGACACCACATGTTAAGAGTGAGATGAGGAAATACTCTTACCTCAGCATCCTGGGAGTAAGTTAAATTGTCCTTGTACTGTCTCTGTGATAAGTGATGGACCTACGCTTCTTAATACAAAACATAAAAACATCCACACAGCCTTTGCAGTAGCAAGAAAAAAAACTCTGAAACCATACTGAAATATGCGTCTTTATATGTGCTGTCAGTTTTGTAGTACACGTTCAAGTAACCTTTATCACTCTTAGTGGCACATGAACCTTGGTGACTGTGTAATTCCCAGTATAACTCAACCCAAATCCACCCTGAGCAGAGGTATAATCAGCCAGAGTGATAACACCTGTGTGTCTGTGTCTTTAGTCATTTCATTCCTCGCCCATGTTATGACAACACCCACTTACAAGAAATAGATTATTTTTGATTGGGAAACCTTGAGACAAAGTCCTGCACATGGATCAGTGGTTGATTTAAGGTTAAATACCTTATTCATTATGACTAAACAAGCAGAATCTCCCCTTTGGTTGACGTTCAGTAGACATACAACAATATTGTGGTGCATTAGGTCAATAGGAAGTGCTATGAAAAGTTTTCTGGCCCTTTGCAACAACAATGTAAACATCTGAACAAAAGTGCAGTTCAAAAACCAAATACTTTATTCTGTGTTACTGACCAACACAGTTCAGCCCCCAATGGCCTCGGATCAATTCATTCTCAAAGTTTCTCTTTTGTCCCTCATCTTCTTCATCTTCCGCAACTCCCATTCTGTTCCACAGTCTGTGCTGAGGGAAAAACTCAATATGACAGTAGAGATTATCGATTTGGCACTGTGCTTTCCTGCACAGAAGTCTCACTTGTCAACAGTTTTTATGGGACAACACCATGCACCACTAAATCAGTGGCTTTAGCAGCTACTGCCTCCTGTACACATTGACCAGTATCTTAAAAGGTTGTGTGTATGTCTGTGTGTAAATGAGAAGAGAGGGATTCTTCTCATCTTAAAGCCAGCAGTTGGACACAAATAAAATTTGCACAACACATAAGCACTGAGTTTGTCTCCTGCAGGTGGAGACACAAAAATGATTACAGGTTTGCTGGCTGCCAAATAAGCCAGACAGTTATAGTCTCTGGAGTTAAAGTTACATGTCTTATATTTGTGCAGTAAGCGGTGTGGAGACCTTTGCAGTAACTCTGTAAATCTGTAAAGCTGATCACAGACAGGCAGCTCAGAGACTGTGCTGTGTGATGATATACAGTATTTTTCCATGTGGTAGATCATGGTGGCCACAGGTGTCGTCCCACATCTCAGTAAAATTCAGGCAAAACTTTAATTTCACATAATTTAAATACAGAACAGGGCACATTTTAGGAAAGCCATGTGATGTAGAAGAGGGTCCATTTAGACATACAAATGAAAGGTGAGCCCTATACACTGAAGAATTTAGGAGTTTAGAAACTCTGTTTGCTCTATGCATGTGCCTGCTGCTAGGTTGCATTCTGTTGTATCAGACTTGAAACACAAGCAGCAGGAAAATACACCATTCATTAATTCCAAACCTCTTGACTGGTGCAAGACTGTCGTCACACACAATATGTGGCCCTGTTTACCCCCAGCAGGGCCAGATGTGACTGTCAGTGGCTGTTAACAAGAGCTATATATTTATTTATAGCTGCATTGCAGCTAAAGGTCTAAGCCTTTTAATAGAAAAAACCCAAAACACTACTAGATTCAATGTTCCTATTTGGAAAGAGGTGGTGTTTGTAAACGGGTGAGGGACCTACTGAGTTGTCCTGCAGTGGAAACAGGACCAGGAAGTGAGTGGTGATTAAATCTGGTGGCCACAGAAAACAGTTGGTGGCTGGTCGTGTATTTCTGAGCTATAGATGAAAACCTGTATATACAGATGTAGAGCTGTATCAGGTGACTTTGTGATGACAGGAAGAGAAGCCTTTAAATGGATGTAGTCTGTATTTAAAGCAGTCGTTTGACATTTTGGGAACTTCTGACAGTTGGATGAGAAGATGGATCCACTCATTTCTATAGAATAAATAGAGGAATACAGCTGCTTAGCTCAGCACAAAAACTGAAAACAGCTGTTCTGTCCAAAGTTATCCATAATGGTTTCACACATAATTTTGCTTAAACTACAAAAACCAAAGTGTAAAAACATTGTGGTTCTGCAGGGGGATTTACTGGATATATGAGGATGCAACAAGATATGTGTAAATGACAAAACTTGAGAGGTGCTGATGGAGAGAGATCAGTTGAATACACAACCCCAGTGTGTGTGAATGTGTGCAGGAGGTTTGCCATTTTTGTATTCTGATTGTACCAGTAACAGTCCAGACTGAAACAAAGGCATGCCAAGTAAATGATACCGTATATCGCCAGGCTAATGGTGGTAGCTAATGTACATGTTGTGAATATTTCGAAAATCTCTTGTTCTGTGTAGAAAAACAAAAAGTATGGGTTTTTTTTGTGACACGTGTTGTCATCGTTGTTCAGAGTACTTGGGGTAATGTCAGCTGTTACAAATGTTAAAAGCATACGGTGTAGTAAGTGCTCCGGTTTGAGCCACTGTAGATCAGCCTCTGTCCTGAGTCTTCAATACTAAACAGAGGAGTTCTGCAATAAGGAGTCGGCTCTAGCATTGCTGTGTCCCAGCACATTCTCTGTGGAGCGTTTTTGTGGTAACTGCAATCAGATGAGCCAGAATAACATGCAGCTTTCTTTCTTCATTGCAGGGAAAATTACAGGACTCGTGCTTGTTAAAAGGAATTCTGCTTATTTCTTTACAAAGATGGCGAGTTGTTAAAGAATTTTTCTTTTGAAGTGCTTGGGTACACAGTGAAACGGAGCTAAAGGCTCCAATCACAATATCTTGTATGTTTCAGGACTGTGATAAATTATCTGCAATTTTTTCAGACAAATCCTACTGAATATGTCTTTTAACGCCAAAACATCAAAACATCTGGACGACTACACCACAGATTATGGGGGATTCATTGCCAATATAGTATTATACTGTACATTCATGGCTCAATATGGTGCCAGTCGTTTAGCTAATGTACACAAATATTTACAGCTTACACAACATTTAAGGTAGACAACCTTGACTCCAGTTAAAAATGAACTATAAAGGCCTTGTTGAATGCACCACGTATCGGGGCACCGAACCTTTTTCACTGAGCTCTGCCACCTGTGACTAGAACCAAATGGACCTGATAGAAAGCCAATAAATTGTTATCATCTTCATCACAATCAGTCATCACTTCTTTTCATCTTCTTCATCTTCCTCCTCTCCATCTTTTCTAATCATCCTCATCCCAAGAATCCACTGAAACCAGCTCAACCAACTGAATCACACTCAAAATAAGACATGAAAACTGAGCAAAATCAAGCACATATTGTCATTGTCAAATTTGCTCCTCTTGGTCAAACAAAAGGTTGTCCAGTCCTTGCCCAAAATGTCTTTCATTTTTTGTCAAAGTTATGTTTCCCTTACAAAACACTGTTTTTGTCCTCCACATAGTTCAGCCCTGCTCTAGACTCCAGAGTCTGATTGGAGGTGGTGGTGGTCCATCATCGCTGAAGCAGCAGGATGACCAGCGGGAGCAGGAGCAGGAGGCTACAGAGGCAGGTCTGAGACGTGGCGGCACTTCCGCCTCGGTTGTCTGGCGTATAGGCGTACAGTCCTGGTCTGCTCCGAGAACACTGACTGCCTACGCACATCCCGCTTCCTGAA